TCATTGCATGTGTTGTGTGAGTCTGAAGAGGAATTTATAGACTGCTATGGGACATATGGGCTAATATTGGACTTATGAACTTGATCTGGACTGGGCTGGGATGTTTTCTCAATATACAATTGCTCTTTGATATAAAGCTCTTTCTCACAGACCTATCTCTGGATGTTTCTCTAGTCTACCTGGACTGACATACGGGCCATGCGGTTTCACACCTCTGTACCTCCACTCACATGGTTCTCTTGGCCTACAACACCCTTCCCCTTCTTCACCCAGCTTAGTCTTTCAAGCCTCTGCGCTCGGTGCCAACTACTTAATTATCAGGGCAGAAAGTCTCTGCTGGCACGTTCCCCCACCTCTCCAGGTTGGGCTGGGCTCCTACTTTGGACTCTTCTCCTCCTCAGCACCCGTCATGTTGACTGACTCACGGTAAGTTTATGGTCAACAGAATGAAACGCTGCTCACTGTGGTCCTTCACAAGTGGCCGCATGATAAAGCTGGCTCGTGTGCCAGTCCACCAAGTCTCCTTCCCCCTCACTGGCCTCCTCCTTCACCTGAGAGCTTCCTCTGACCACAGATTGCTCTGGAAGCATGTCCAAAGCACGCACCCATCCAAGGCATACCCCACATCTACAGAACTTACTCTGGCCACACTCTCTGCCCCAGCCCCTCAGGAGTAGACTTTTGACATCTGAAAAATGGACAGACAAAAGGGCCAAGTACATACGTGAGCGCAACTGGGAAGGATGTTGGAAACATCAGGCCTGACTAATTGGTGTGGGAGAGTAATAAGCTATGGCCACTCCTTTCCTGTTTCTGAAAATGGTCCCCAAACCCCAGAGCCTTGTCTTTGTGCTCAGCCTCCTGCAAACATGCCAAATGCATGCTCTAGTCATGACTCGGCTCATGCTGTTTCTCCTGATCGGAATACCCTATTTTATTACTGGGGTCTCAACCTTTCTAATGCTGCGACCCTTTAATTTAGTTCCTCATGTTGTGCTGACCACCACTCCCAACCATAACATTATTTTTATTGCTACTTCATTACTGTCATTTTGCTACTATTATGAATTGGGCGACCCCTGTGAAAGGGTTGTTCGACCCCCAAAGGGGTCCCGACCCACAGGTTGAGAACCGCTGCTCGATTATCTCGTCTCCATGCTAGCTACTGACTGCTTGAGGCTCAATTCAAGTCTTCCTGTGTGCCATCTTCCTGGATTGCTGCCATTCACAATGTTCCCCCCGCCCCCCAGCACCAAACTTCTCCAGAATGTTTGGTTTGTGTCCTCCACACAGCAGTTAGCTTAGTTTTCTACAACTGGGTCTTCACAACTACGGCCTGTCTCTTTAACCATGGCTGTGGTTTGGTGCCATGAAGCCAGCTCCAAGTTACGGTGGAGGAAACACTGCCTGCGCCAGCACTGCCCACAACCACCTGCGCCAGTGTGAGCCCACGGCTGCAGCTACGAAGTCAATTCATCTCTTGCAGGGCTTCTCTCCTGGATGCCCACTGGCTCTGTTTACCACCCATGGCCCCCTTCCCTAGTGATGATGGGCTCAAAGGAAGCCAGACAAAGCCTCTCCCCCCTCGCTTCTCGGAGCATTCAGGCGGTGCTTCTCCAAGACAGATGCGTGTGTTCTTTTGAGAGTCCACAGATGATCGGACACCCGTCACCAACACCATAACGCACCATAACGCACCATAACGCAACCATAACGCAGCGACACCGATTCTGCTTCAGTCTTCTCTCCAACTGAGTTGTGAGTGTGCCTCTAGTTGTTGTTTGGGTGGAAGTGAGCAGAGCAAATTGGTCTTCCATGCGGCACGCGACACGCATGGTGTTCCGTGACGGGGCGGAACAGCCCTCTCCCTACTTCCTCGTGGCGACTCCGTTTCCAGCTCAGGCTTCTTTCCTGGTTCTCAGCAAACGTTGCCTCTTTGGTCCTGATTCTACGAGGAGTGAGGAGTGCGTTTCCCCTGGTGTTATCGTTCATTCTGGGGCCTGCCTCTTGTTTGGGTGAAAGTTGATTTTTAGGCGTGAGTTTATTTCCAGGCTTGAAGGACTCAACCCTTTAAAAAATATCCCCAGAACCTATCACAGTGCCCATGGCAAATATTCGGGACTCCAAAGTGTTAGATCACTGATAAAACCATTATTGACAAGACCCATTACGAGACCACTTGATCCAAGGCCCACTGAGATGGAATCAGTCATCCTTGGCCTTATAATAATTTTGAGAAGGGAGCCTGATGGGAATAATCTTTTCCTGATCTCACCAAGAGAAATCTCTGAGTGACCCGGCAGACCAGAATGGTGCAGGAGGACGGTGGCTTTTCTTTGGACTTAAGCTGCAATCAGCAGAAACTACGGGAACATTCTACATGGGCCCTTGAGATCAGTCAATGGAAGTGGTTTCAAATAGCCTCGCTCCAGTCCCAAAGCACAATGTTCCTGACCACCCAGACCAGTGCACGGTCACACGGCGAAGGTCCCCTAAGTAGGGGCACGTGGCACTTCAGTTAGATGGAGCCAGAGGTGTTAGCTGGATACCCCTCTCTCAGGCCGGCCTCTTCTTCTCTGCTCCAGGACTCTACCATTTCCCACTTTACATTTTTTTAAAAGAATGACTTATCAGCAGCAAAATTATTTAATTGGGAGCATTTTGTTCTTTATCGAATTTTAGTGGAATGTGTAGGCAGCAATAAAATGTCTAGAAAGTACAGAACTGTTAGGTAGCTAGAGACAGGGACAAGGGGCTGTCCCCCCGTGGGCCTGTGAAGGTTCCCATAAAGGAGGTTGGGAAAGATTCAGGTGACCATTCAACACCTATGAAGACCCCTGAAGTGGGCATGCTCAAATTCAGTCCCCAAGCCAGGTGGGCAGTACACCTGAGTGGCCCAAATGAGGCACAGGCTCATGACATCACCCAGGTGGGCTTAATTCAGCCAGTGGGATCAACCAAGACCTTCAACCACGCCTCCCCAGCCAGAGGTCTGAAGCCGCCCTCCTTTAACCCTCTCCTGCACCTGCTCATGCTGCAGGGCAGCTTGCTCTGGCCTCCGCTCCGCATGTGTGGGTGCGCTGTTCGACGAGGCTGCTCTTGTCTAGTTGTGAACCTCCGTGCGGCTACCACCCTGTTGGGCACGCTTCCCCAAAATAGCGTGTACTCCTTTGAGACTGTCAAACCTGAAACCTCTCCCGTCCTTCATAAAATCTCACTTGAATTACAAACGGGCGTTGGCGTGGAGCCGAGAACCAAGGTATGACCCACTCCAGACACCCCACGGAACCAGTCAAGACGCAAAGAGAACAAGGTGCCAGAATCCACTCAGATAAAAAACTCGGAGGAACCATTGTTTTCCCTTCTGCACGTCCTCTACTTGAACTCTTCAGCCCAGACCCTGTGAGGGAGGGGACGCCCACCCTTGCTGGGTACCCCCATCAGACAGGAAGGGGACTTTCCCATCCTTGGGCCCTCAGGAGGAAGGAAGTGCATGGTCTACACTTTTTTTCCTATGGTTGAAAGTCCCCTCCATCCCCACCACTGCTTAGAAGGGACAGCCTGAAGGGTCATGTGACTCACCCAAGGCCCCCTACAGTCTCATTATCCACAACCCCAATATTTCGGAAAATGCTAGAAGACAGATTAAGAAGTAGCTTGAAACCCAGACTTCTGAGGCAACCCCTTCTGGCCACAGGAAAACTCACTGGAATTCTGGTGTGTGCTCATTGTTGGGGGTCCCGCAGACACATGAACGGAACACAGCACTATCAGGGAGTCCACACCGGTCAGGACTTTATCTGGGTAGCATAGTGGTTCTGCCTAGGGCCGCTAACTATAAGGTGAGCAGTTCAAAAACGACCAGCCACTCCACAGGAGAAAGACAAGGCTTACTATACTCTTGCCAAGGCTTACCGTCTTGGAATCCCACAAGGGCAATTCTAGTCTGTCCTGTGGGGTCACTATGGGTCAGAATTAACTTGATGGAAGTGAGCTTGTGATGTTTATATATATATATATTTTTTTTGGGGGGTGTGTGTGTTAATAGCTATAGGGCCCTGATGGCGTAGTTACATACACACTGAGCTGTTAATCCTAAAGTCAGCAGTTTAAACCCTTAGTCGCACCTCAGGAGGATGAGGCTGTCTGCTCCCGTAAAGATTGAAAAGTCTCAGAATCCCACCAGGGCAGTTCTGTTCCATTAACTCCGAGGGCATTAGGTTTGGGTTTAGGTAACACCTCTCCCTCCTGATTTCAAACCCGTCCTCCACCCCTTTCATTTGTCTTTGACTCCAGATAGGTCGGATGGACAGCAAATGGCTCAAGAGCAAATAACGCAATGTAGCATTTTCTCTGTACAGTTTAACCAAGAGACGCCTGATAGCTTGGCTTTCATTATTCTCATTGATTTTCCATTTGAGAACTCACATCAGTGCCTTCACCAGTAACAAAGGGAGAGAAAGAAACAGGGAAGGGGAAAAAAAGCCGAGCAGACCCTGAGAATACTTTTATTACTGGACTGATAGCTATCTTTAAAATGGAGCGAGATAGCATTTATGTGGTTTATGGCAGCAGTAGGTCAAATGTAGGACCAGTAATAAATATGCAATTGCTTCCAGGCAACAGAAAGAGGCTGCATTTCTTTAACAGATGACTTTTAGGGTCTGCTTATAATACAAATAGAGTTTGGGTTCAAGTGTTGGCTCTTCCAATAGCGATGGCCTCCAGGAGAGCTGTGTTGATGGAGAGTTACTGGGGGTGGAGACGTGTGCTGGGTCTAGCTGAGCTGATGGCGCGGAGCTCCGGGGAGGAAGGTGCTTTGCCTTTGGGGTGTTTCATTGTAGACAGGTTATTTCAGACGGAGTGTGTTTTTTATAGAACATCAAAGCAAGAGCCTGGCCCTCTTATAGATGTCCCTGGGGTGGGGGTAGCACTTAAATTGGAAGCGTGTTTAGCCATTTAGTGCCCTTGACTCAGAAGGATGTGTGCTCCTCAACGACAGCTGAGGAGCACAGCGCTGGCTGGAAACCGCACATAGTGTGTGTGAGACACAGATGGAAAGAGAGATTAAGGTAAGGTGCGCACCGCCTAAACAACGGGCTTCTTACCTGATCTCTCGGAATTTTTGGTTATCAAGTTTTTAATTTATTGGGGCATTGTTTGCTCCATTGTGTTCGCTGAAGGATGTTCACAATCCCCTGCATCATAACAAAAGGAGTGTGGCGGGTTATGCAGTAGAGCTGCTAACCACAAGGTCAGTGGTTCAAATCCACCAGTTGCTCCATGGAAGAAAGATGAGGCGGTGTGCTGCCGTAAAGATACAAGAAGTCTCAGACGCCCAAAGGGGAGGTCCTACTCTGTCCTACAAAGTCACCGTGAGTCAGAGTTGACTCGTGGCCGTGAGTTTTGAGACAGTGTTGCTGTAGCTTTATGACTGCCGTACCAAATTAAACATTGTGTCGCCTGCTCTCCTTCTACGAAAGAGCCCTGATGACGCTGTCAGGGCTGCTAACTGTAAGGTCAGCAGTTCAAACCCACCAGGGGAGAAAGATGAGATTGTCGGCTCCCAGGGAGACCAACACCTTGGGAAACCCCAGGCAGGGCTGCTCTGAGCGGGAGCTGACTTCACGGTGGTGCGGGAGGAGGTTGACACTGGTTGACTGCAGGCACGAGCACCTCAGGGCAGCCCTGGAGGCCTGTGTGCTGGTGTGGTGCTGAACGGGCTTCCGCGGTGCTTCTGAACTACAGAAGACGAGGAAGCGAGGCCTGGAAAACCACGTGCGAACGGCTCGCCAGTGGAAGCTCCACGGGTCACGAGAGTCTGGTTCCACGGTCGACAGGGGTGTCATGAGCCGGGGGCTGAGCCACTCGCTCGCTTGCTGACAGTACCAGCAACCAGACTCTACAACTACAAGCTCTAGCACATGCCAGACACCAGTTGTTTTTGCAACTCCCCTGCTCGATGGTAGCGACGATACACGTGATTGTTAATGACTAGTTCAGCTTCACAATACGCACACGTCCCTCTGTCAGCAGTCTTGTAAAAAACAGAATCCGCTAATCATACAATTGACGCATATTAAGAGGCGTGGTACAACCATCACCATAATCTCCGTCTTCGAGCATTTTCTTCCTCCTTGAACTCATGGCTGTGAGCTTCCCATTCGCCCCCACTTCCCCTGCCATACTCCCAAGGAGAATCATGAATCCAGTTACTGTCTGTATAGATTTACCTATCCATCCGAATTCTTGTAGGTACAGCGTCGCCACCCACATGCAGGCATGGCTCCTACCGGAAATACAAAGGCCCCACGCCCAGCCAGAATGCTCGCTGCTCTGTGGTCCGGGACCCCAGCTCGGCCTCATCATTTGCACTGGGAGGGCAGAGGTGAGGAGGGAGTCTGGGCCCCCAGACCCTCCTCATCTCACACCATTCTTTTAAATTCATGTTAGCCACACACACAGGAGGAGTTTGGCTAAGACCATCTCCGCTCAGTAACTGGAAGGCGCGGCGCGCCGGGGCAGCAGGAAGGAGATGGGTGGCCACTGGACCAGAAGCAGCCATTACAACTCAGCCACTGTGCTCCTTGCCATCGATTTTCTCCCCTCAGTCCCACGACACAAGGCATTTCATGAGTGGGACTCCCAAACCTGTTTCGAAATAAATTACTTTCCCAGAGCCCCATCTCATGGTTGTTTCTTCCTCGATTGGAAATTTGCTTTTGTGCTTTGTTTCCTTTTAAATTGTAGGTAAACTTGGGACTGGGAAT